CAGTAGACAAGATTTCTAAAAAATATCTCTCAACTTCGTCATCGATATTACGTCCAAAGCAACTGAGAGTTTTGCAATAAACATATTTTTCATGTTATTTCACTTCATTATTAAGCCATGAGGAATTGAAAAAATCGTGAGGCCACTTCGTTGAGCTTCTCAGTGATTTGAAAGAGGAATGGTATGGGGACAGAAATTATTGAAAAAATATTAATTTTGCGATTTCTATTGAGCCCGTGTAGAAGGCGCTTCTGGGAAATTTCTTCTTCATCTTCACAGAGAGAAACCGAGACGATTACTACGGCATAAAAAATTCACGAAATGAACGAAAAACTCAGTTTAGAACGTTTGCGAGTAAGCTATTCACCTATAATCGCTGTACTTGACGCACAATCCGCATCGATGCTCTGCATCTTCCTCCACGTCCGTACTTCGTTATGACGCAGGCTAATCACATAACTTCCATAAAATTTTGCTAAACTTCCCGTATTTAACGCAAAACAGGGTCAAGTCAATCCACAATCCAGTTAATACACGGTGCCTGAATCGATGATGATACTATACTATCGCATCATTCAATGCTACGAAATTCATCAGCGTACTGTACGCTGCGTACAGAGGAGACAGTCATTAAAACGGCCAGATTTTGTCGCTCGTTCCACCATGGTCCATGGATCGGTTTTTGTTGGGAAAATACTTGAATACCGTTCAAGTATTGTGCGGATTCAACACTGAAGACAACACGTGTGGGAAGAAAAACTTCGACTTCGTTTTTCTCGATGTGCGCTGTTCAGGTTGAAAGTGGTATGGACTCGACATTCGTCATTTTGGGTGCTCATAAACTATAAGCACAGAGGTCAGTTGATCGGGGAAATTCTGCATATTTTTTGCGTTGAACTTCACGTTTCCGGCATGTATCGGATGTACCATATCACAAAATCTCAATATACTATATTGGTGTTGATTACCATATGTTCTGATATTAGTTGAGAATGCGCTTAGTGTGAGAAATTCTCCGCTGAGCGACTCGAGAGATCTTTCAGAGGTTTCTCTCGATTTCCATGCTCCCTGATGTAGAGCCCTGAGGCGGCTTCAGAACGGTATGCAGAATACCGCATTCTCTGTTATGATAGAAGCCAATCTCGGCTCAGCGAATTTGGCTGGCGATTGCCCCTCCTGAGCAGGCTTGTGAACTCCAAGCCATAAAGTCATAATGAGCCTTGATCGAATGGGTCAACTCTCTCCACTCTTCTGCTCCAGAGCTCTTACTGCTGATTTTGGGAGGCAGCAAGTACAATCAGAAGGCAGTCGTCATTGACGACTCGTCAATGAGTCTCGGTTTGGAAGACAAAGCTAGTCTAATTGATTTACACTAGACTAGTGTAAATCGATTGGATTCTCTGACTCATCTAGTGACTAGATGCCGGAGACCCACGGTGATGGTGAGAATTCTAGTGCTCGGTGAGTAGAAAAATATGGTTATCCGGTGGGAACCTCAGAAACAGTATATAATCGCAGGATGGGATATTCAGTGCTGCATTCAAAGCAGAGATGCGAGCCTGCAATGCCGGCCCCATATCTTCGCATTAGGGCTATATTGGGGCTGCTCTACATCTTGTACCTTGAGGATGGCTCTTGGGCATCGTACGACCAATGAGTGGATTTGAGAGACTTCTCCGGGATGATAGTCATATCGAAGGTTGTTGGAGTGACGTAAGAATTCACCAAGATCTGGATATCGGAAATCCCCCAAATACTGGGCTTCAGATGGGACCTAGGGGTCTATACTCTAGGAGAGGATGATCTTTCGATCTTTGTCATGACTAATGAGTGACACTGTTCTGTGTGTAGTGACCCGAATCTCCAAGGGATCCGCTCTGCTACTGAAGCATTCCTTCAGGTTGGGTTTCATATGCGCAGTGATGCAACCCGAGGGGTGGGGCATAATCACCTCAGATCGAACGTGGATATTGGCTCGGAGGGACCCCATGATTCCACTGGCTCTACCTCATAGATTCAACCACCTCTCATCTGAGGAATGAGGGCTGACTCAGCAATGCTGAGCTTGATACACGGTTCAACGGACCAATATTGAAGACGATCGAAGCACTGCTGAGAACTGTGACTTCAGTTCATACTAGGGAAGGTGTTGCCGATGGTGGTTGTCGGAATGCGAAGTCAGCATTCGCCGAGAAAATAGCTCTTACATTGAACACTGGGCTTGTTGAGGCCGTTTGATGCACAAGGGACTCGAACGAATTCAGATTGTATGAACTGCTGATGAGGTGCCCTAAGCTTCGTGCAGTGGAAGTTCAAGTTCACGGGATTGTGTTTGTGTTTTCTGATTATCATTCTCTCAAGCATGTATGCGCAAACTGGTTCAATAAATGTCGTTTTTGTCGCTAAAGAGGGGAGATATAATTTAAAACTATCAACTTTCGAATTCGTTAGACTTTCCAGATCACATCACGTTTCCTTAGGTGCTGTAATGGTGGCCGGCGACATCAGCATTCTCCAGGGTTGCCATATCCAGCTGGCTTGAGCTGGGTCAAAGCACACATTCGAGCAAATACGGACGTGAGTGATACTCGAGTAATCGGTTTCTCTGGCCCATTTATTTGAGCGATTATGCGCGATGGGTGTTTGTAGAGAATCTCCAAGTTCGCTCAGGTGTGGCAGTGTCTTCAGGTATTGATTTGGATACGGACACATGGAAAGAGCACCGCATTAGCAGCAGAATGCCGAAGTCTTTCCCACTTGGGATGTTGGGTAACCTATATTTTACACACTTGAGGAACAGTGGCCTGGACTATCCCCTACTCTGATGAATGTTGGCAGCTAGTGGAATGCGAGTCGCATCCCACTATCATGCGACAGTTGCCTTTTTGGTTCCATTGACGGATGTGTTGGGCATGAGCAGTTTTCGAGATCGAAGTGTTGCGCTAGAGTGGTAAGAAACTTCACATTTTGTACATCGATCATGATGATCGATGTACAAAATGTGAAGTTTCTTACGATGATGATCATGCATGCTCATTCATATGCGTCAAACTCGAGCGTATGCAGTCAAACTTTAGAATATGTGGTTAAACTTGAATATAACACTCATGACCGTGTTGAACTTCCTTTTACTCGAACCTGGATGTAATATTTGTCACCATGCCATGGTGTCAAACTTGAATGTCCCCCTGGTAACCTCGGATGTAACATCTGAAAAAGTGTAAAACTTGTGTAGGCCGCTGATATTCTTGCGTGTAACGCTGTCGAACTTGTGCGTTCACCCGTCAAACTCGGTGGTTGTAACTTTCACTTGACAAACTTAAGAAAGCAATAAGATCGTGTCGAGAGCCCCTCAGTCTCTTATTTGAGAGTGTCAATCTCGTTTTATAGGCTAGGCGGACTCTTCGTGAGCTAGTTTGCATCGGTGATAGTCTAAGCCGTGCTGGCGGCGATGGAATTTAGAGAGCCACTGTGGCACTGCCACATACTTTAAATGGAATACTTTGAATGAAATGGTCTGATTTGAGTTTTCTGAGGAATGTAGCGCTCCCACTTGAATAAGTAGAAAGTAGTATTGTGAAAGGCCGATGGTTTATTGTACCGGAGGATTGAGTTTGGCTCCGGCAAATAGGCATTCACCCCAATAGCTTCTGACGGCGGTTCATCGCGGTGCGCGAAGATACTCGTCCCGAATCTTACAGTTTCGTTCACATACCTGGGCGACCTACGACCATGAAGTGCTTGCTACAGCTTTGTTAGCTTCATTGTTTCCTATCAGACTATACCGCGTTCTCGGCGATTAGATCAGGCAAGGGTTAGTCGTGCACGTGCTGTATCTCTGTGTCTATATTACATAGCAGCGTTTCTCTACAGAGGTTTCTCCGCAGAAAATATGACCATAATCAGCACCGCCCTCATCATCCCTACTGCAGTCTCATATAATATTCGACAGTTGCAGGTCTCCACCACTGCTTCTACTACACCCATGACCACAAGCCTTCCATCGGGTCCCAATACGGCTTGTGATGATATGTGCAGAAGTCTCAATGACGCCGCCTCCTACTGCAAGTGGTGGTTGCCAGTACCTGCCTGCCAAGTTGGCGATCAGCCATGTGGTGACCACAGTGTCTGCGAGTCTCAGACTTGGCCACCTCCAGTCGATCCAACAACTCCTCCCGGAGGCCACCCATTCCAGTCTGCTCCATGTGACGCCTACTGCATTGGTCTTAACGGCCCATCCTCACACTGCAAGTGGTGGAAACCTGAGCCCGTCTGCCAAGGAGGTGATCAGAGGTGTCGCCCATCAGAATGCCCGACTGGAGATTCGCCTACAACTGCTACTCCTCCTGATTCCCACGCGGGTCCGAGTGACAACTGTGATGCTTATTGCCGGTCCTTGAATGATGGTGTGTTCGGCGAGAGGATTTCATACTGTAAGTGGTGGCTTTATGTCCCTGTTTGTCAAGATGGTGATCAACTCTGCGGCCCATCAGTCTGTGGTAACTTTCCCACAACTACTGCGATGGCTACGACTACAGTGTTGGCAACTACTGCCGCTTCCACCACAGTAGCAACGACTGCGGCTCCTACCACAGTTTCGGCTACTACATCAGCGGCTACTACTGCTGCTCCTACCACAGTGGCGGCTACTACATTGGCGGCTACTACTGCTGTTCCCACTACAGTATCGGCCACTACTGCTGCTCCTACCACAGTGGCGGCTACTACTGCTGCTCCTACCACAGTGGCGGCTACTACATTGGCGGCTACTACTGCTGTTCCCACTACAGTATCGGCTACTACTGCTGCTCCTACCACAGTGGCGGCTACTACTGCTGCTCCTACCACAGTGGCGGCTACTACTGCTGCTCCTACCACAGTGGCGGCTACTACATTGGCGGCTACTACTGCTGTTCCCACTACAGTATCGGCTACTACTGCTGCTCCTACTACAGTGGCTACTACTGCTGCTCCTACCACAGTGGCGGCTACTACTGCTGTTCCCACTACAGTATCGGCTACTACTGCTGCTCCTACTACAGTGGCTACTACTGCTGCTCCTACCACAGTGGCTAGTACTGCTGCTCCCACTACGGTGGCGGCCGATACTACTGCTTCGGTCTAATTTCGGCGGTGCCGATAGCCCTTCCACATTCGAGTTACATCACTCAAGTGTACTCCTAATTGGTACAGGAGACCTGTGAATCAGAGTCTCACGTATATCTAAATCATTCACGTCAACGGTGCTACCCAAAGGGTATCCTAGTCCTTAGTAGTGTTTTCCATAACTGCCCAGTGTGTTGTGCTCACGATCGTCAAAGGCTTATCTATAACTCAGGGACCCCTGGGGATTCGATTATTCAGGGAGCCATTCAGGGAACATTTCCCGATCTATGTAAACCCAGGATTGGTTGGTGTTAACCAGAAGAGTGACAAGAATAGTAAAAGTTGTAACTATATCTTCAACGTAAGAGAGTTACAAACGCAGCCGTTGTTAATGATGCTACTGATGATCTTTTGGGAAGAATACAAATATCTAGTATAAAACATGGTGATTTGGAAGAAGAAATATCCATCACGGTGATTACCGCGTATAAAACACATGCCGATAAAATGATCAGAAATTTGAGACAAATGCATTTGGTCAACATTTGCTACAACCAGTACACGTGTTGATTTCAGAATTCGGTGAGACAATTGGTGATTGGTTGGATCAGTGTAGACGATAAAGGGAGGCTTCAATATGATGCATGAGTGGGTCTTTCACGGAGCTCACTATCCGACTAATCCCAAAGCAGTGGTCGGTGGAGTTGTAGGCCGGCATTGCGAGTCTACGAGATGTCACCCATCTTGAGCAAGGAAAGATTATACTTCCCTGCAAGAACTAAGCAGTGTAGTGATGATGCACTAGCACGCCGGAGCAACAGCTTTATATACCGTTATGGCCTCTACCGTAGTATTAACTACGGGGGATTGGGTTGTGCTAGTAGTCTCAAAGAGATCGTGGCTGTGCGTAACGTGGCTTCACCGTGAAGCCCTCACGGTTTCCTTACACAAGAGCTAGCGAATCTAGAAACGACCTTCCCGATGTGGTCGATTTCGATTCGAGAAGACCAATTCAATCAATCATGTCCTTAGTTATTTACTTTTTCCTAGGTCTGTTGTGATCGTAGTGCCGTGTTACTCTTCATCCAATGACTATTGCCGTCGACGATGCTGCTCTGGCTCGCTACAAAAGTTTCAAGGATAACGACGATAAGAGGTAGCAGCAATTTGTTGTTGATCAGCGTTATACTACTTGTTATCAGGTTTATCATATTCAGCATATCGGGTGATTCCGTCGTGGTCGAGTCCGAGGTGGGGGAAGATGCCTCCTACGACGACTTCATATCCGTGATCATAACCCTTGGATGTATTCGTTTGATCTCATCTTTTCCAAGGCCATCAAGGAGAGCGGAGAACCTCGTTACGCAGTTGTAGAGGTTGAAGGGAAGATCGTGTTCGTCTCCTGGTTTCCCGAGAATGCCTCTTCTATACTGAAAATGAAGTAAATTCATCGAGAGTGTTATACTGTTGATGGGATGATACTTTCAAGATACGCATCTTGCAAAGAGGGAGTCGTCGAGTCGTTCGAAGGTGTACAAGTGAAAGTGAATGCTACTGATGACATGGAACTGTCTGTTGAGGTTCTTAAGGATAAGGTTTCGCGGTGAGAGTCTCAGCCAGCTATGATACCAGATAGAGTTTTTCAATATAGTACACTTGTTTGTTTCGTTGTCGGGAAAACGTTCAAAGCCGATGCGAGGGCAAATATTGATTACTTGTATTGGAGTAATGGTAGGAGCAAAAAACTTCTTGTATTGTTCAATATGGGAATATAAGTTTGGCTCCCCTAACATCGCTACTTTGTGGAGGGGGGGGCGGACACGGTCCCGGGTAAAACTGTACCAAAACAAAGATTTTGTGTAATTTAGATTCCCTCGTTGTCATCAACACATGTTGACGCCCCAGACCAATAAAAATAATAGAGAAGTAATACTTAATAATCTTCAGATGAGTCTGGTGGCATCAGTCGAGGGATGTCATTACAATTCACGATCGTGAATCACAACATCTGTGGGGTCGATTGTTACGCGATATAGATGATACGATTTCTGAGGACAATATCAAGCACCCGTGATAAACAATCTTGACGAAGGTTAGCCTCTGACTATCGTTCGCGTTGTAATGGGGCATCAAAGATGGCTCATATACAAAATAGCAAAGGAGCAAATAGCAAAAAAGTGCCAATTAGCTGGAATGTATATTTTCTGCGGCTTTTGCTGTTGTGCTAGTGTGTAAAAACGCTATGGCTGATATACAAAGGAGCAAAGTAGCAAAATTCACTTTACAAATACGCAAATTTGCCGTTTTGTATAACAGAAACTGCTCGAATGTATATCGTTTGCTTGTTTATATTTCAGAAATTTGCTACAATGTATAAAAGTTGCTGCTATGTGAAGTGCTACTATGTACCAAAATTGAGCAATATTGCTCAAAAAAGGGGCAAACCAATAAATTGCCCCTTCTGCTATCGAGCAAATTGCTACTTTTCAGAGGAGCAATTTGCCGCTTTACGAATGGGCAACCCC